TGAAAGTTTCTGAGGACTTGAACATTTTCTGTCCTTAATTTGCATATCTATCATAGAACTATGATGACCACACTGCCTGAATTTTCTGGCAAGAATCTGTGTATTATTTTTCCCTTTCCTTCAGAAAAGGTGATTGGCTATATGCCGCACTGACTGCTTAGTCTGGCTTAATTTTTATGCTTTTGTAAGATTTAATGAAAGCGAATCATGAATCAGAAAAAAAAAGCAATTCCTTTGTCAGAGCATGTGACATGGCCATTATGTGTGCAGGTCATCAATTACCTCTACTCTCCAGGAAGATTAATCCTCTGCCTCCCCTCCTGCCTCATTGGAAATTGAGGGTACAGCGGGCTCTAAGATAAAGACTCCTGTTAGCAAAGCACCTCATTGTTAAAGAACAGCCACAGAGGAGTCTCTAGTTCCATAATAGTCCCTTCTCAGAGACTCAGAAAACCCAGAAATGAAATTTAAAATTGGATGGGACAAGGAGGAGGGTGGGGACAGGATGGGGGAGAGCAGAAAATTACATAATTTTTACATAATAACAAAATGCCCATACTTCAAGAGAGGGTGTAGCCTTACACACATAATGTGGTAGATAGAAAAGTAACTCCTTCCATAAGGCATCACTATGTGAGATCTCTGATCGTTTTTGTTACTTTAAAAGATAGCTTGTGGGGTGTGTGTGTGTGTGTGTGTGTCCCAGAAGAATGGCCTATACCTAAAAGGTGGGGACAACAGACTGAAATACTGAAATGCTGGGAGTGGGAACTGGTGTGGGAAGTCCTTCTGTCTATGTGTTGCTTTTAATGGTTAATGAATAACAGAACGGGCTTGGCCTATAGCACGGCAGGAGGAAGGCAGGGAGAGAAGCCATAGAACAACCTGAGACAGACATGTTGAAACTTTGCTGGTAGGCCACGACCTCATGGTGATGCACAGGTTAATGGAAATGGGTTAAATTAAGATGTAAGACTTAGCCAATTAAAAGCTAGAGCTAATGGGCCAAGCAGTGCTTTAAATAATATTGTTTCTATGTGATTATTTTCAGGCTGAGGGATCTCCCTGCAACAGGGGACAGTAGTCAGTGTCAGGAAGTTGAACCCACCAAGAAAGGAGCACAATTCTACAGGACTCCTTCCCCTGGGGAGAATTCTGTCCTTGATGAAGGTAAGCTATTGTTCATTGAGTTTTACTTTCAGGTAAAAATCAAAGCATGAGGACTTTTTACAATCCACCATGTGGTTTTCTACGAGGTAAAATGGACCAGACAGTAGAGTAGGAAGGACTGCTGGCTCTGACTCGTGTCTCCAACCAAGCTAATGGGGGTACAGAGTCCCTTGCAGAGGAACAAGCCCAGAAGCACCAAAAAAAGTCAAATCCCAGAGCAACTGAAGAAGCCCAATACATTCACTGAAGAGTGAGGGACTGGGGGGCCTTGAGGGATGGAAAACAAATGTCAACCTTTCCACTGTGTGGTAGGCATATTAGTCCTATGCTGCCTTTTAACTCTATAAAAGTTTTGAGACTATATAATTACAACATTTCTCTCTATCCTTTGGTAACTCTAGAACCTTCCAGAACCCCATGCTTGCTCTCTTTCAAATTCATGGAACTTTTTATCATTGCAATTTCATGCATATAGGTACTTGTAAATACACATATATTCATAAATAAGACCTCTCAGTTTGTATGTTACTTGGGTATATATTTTTAGGGATGGCTATTAATGGATATTAAGTAACCAGTTGGTGTGTGTTTCCTCTCAGTATTCCTTAGTTGCCTGCAGTTCTTGGTATGAAGTTGAGGCCTCTTGGTCTTTCCCAAGTTTTCTTTGGCCAGTCAATTGTTTATTTCCTTGCTGAGACCATGTTAAGGAAGTCATGCCGGTGAGACCTCGCGGGTGTTGCTTCTGACATTACTAGGAAACACTGATCCTGTGGCTCTTACACTCTTTCCACCGCCTCTTCTCAATGCTCCCTGAGCCCTAGGTGCAGGAGTGTTCTGTAGATGTAGCCACTGGGACTGTGCTCAACAACTACACTTTGTTTGCTTGTGGCTTTCTGTGATGGTCTCCCCGATGCTTCAAAGGGAAGTTCCCTTGATGAGGAATAAAGACTACACTTATCTGTGGGTCCAGGACAAACATTCAGGTTGTTGTTAGAGATTATGCTGGTTTCGTAAAGCGGTGCTTGTAGGTTCTCCATCAATATCCATTCTTCACTGGCACTGATAGTTGGGTAGGTTTCTAGTACCAGGCTTGAATTTCCTTCCATTGAGCACACCTTGCATCCAATTAGAGAGCTGTTGGTTACTGCCAAGGAATGTGCGCCACTACTGCACCATTAGGGTTATCATGCCATGCTAGTCATTGATGTGGTTTATAGGCATCATAGCTGGTGAGGATTGTTGGTTGCCTCCCTCCTTTGGAAGCCTGGATGGCATCTTCTGGTATCATGAATGCTAGTCCTCAGGGAGGAGGCTTTCAAGTCAGTTCTAGCTCAGAGCTCTCTGGGCCCTGTTTCTGAAGTGAATGGCATGTCCAGCAAGAGGAATTTGCCTTTTCCCTGTAGGAGATAGCTAAGGGCAAGTGTGTTAGGCTGTATGTTTTGGTCAACAATGCAAAAGAAGGCTTCTCATGGCTGGTGCCTGGTTCTGAGATTTCTGTTGGGTGGTCTTTGCCTCCTGGAGAGAGCAATGTCACCAGTGACAAAAAGGATCATTAAAACCATATATGCATATTAATATGTACGATTAAATTTATTGGTTTTTTAAGTAAATAGTTAATTGTATGATTTCTTGTGGCTTCCTCAGAAACTCTTATTGTTATTTTACCCTCCTTTCTTCTGTACTTACCTCCCTACTCCACCATAAGGTGCTCCCCTTTCTTATGGCCCCAATCAAATCACTTGTACACTGTTAGTCCCTCTTACCCTGCTCCCTCCTCCTCTTCTATTTACCTCTATCTCCCTTCTTAAAGAGCCCCTTGTTTCCCAGTGGTCCTCTGATCAGACCACTAGGACTTTGCTCTTCCCTTCTCTATCGATCACTAGCCCCGCCCCCTCCATTCTGGCAACAATTTTATTGTACTTTCTTGGCTCCTGCAGTTACTCCAGGCTGTGCCCCCACATCTAGAGATTCAGAGCTAGAAACTACAGATAAAAGAGTACATTTGGGATTTACCTTTCTGGGTCTGGGTTACCTGAACTCAATATGACCTTTTCCAGTGCCATCCATTTACTGGCAAATTTCATCATTTCACTTTTCTTTATAGCTGAATCATATTCCGTGGTGTATTTGTAGATTTTCGTAATCCATTTGTCAGTTGAAGGCTATTTAGATTGTTTCCATTTTCTAGCAATTATGAATACAGCGGCAATGAGCACAGATGAGCTTCCACACTCCCTCTTCAGCATTTATTGTGAATTGTTTTAGTGGTTTTGCCATCCTGACTTGAATTAGATGAAAACTCGAGTATGCATGGATTTGCATTTCCTAATTACTAAAGACAATGAGCATATTTTGAGTTCTTTCTTAGCCAATGTTTTCTTCGTCTTCTGAGAACTCTCTGTTCAACTCCCAGTTTTGGGATGGAACATTTGGGTTTTTGATTCTTTGCTTTTTGAGTTCTTTATATATTCTGGTTATTACTCCTCTGGCAGAGACACCATTGGCAAAGATTCTCTCCCATTCTGCGGACGACTTCTTCACCTGGCCGACTGTTTCTTCAGCTATGCAGAAGCTTTTCATTTTCATGAGGTCCCACTGTCAGCTGCTGGCCTTCATTCTTGAGCAAATGGAATTGTATTCAAGAAGTTCTTTGCCACACATGTATCATGTAGGGCACTGCCTGTGCTTTCTTCTAGCAGTTTCAGTGTTTCCTGTTTAAGTCTTTGAACTTAGTTTTTATTCAAGGTGATAGGTACAGATCTAATTTCATACTTCTGATGTGAACATCCTGTTTTGTGGCACCATTTTTTGAAGATGTTTTCTTCAATATGTTTTTGGCATCTCTGTCAAATAGTAAAGGGCTGAAGGCAGATTTACCCTTTAGGTCTTTTATTTACTCTGCTGCTCTATGTGTCTGTTTCTGTGTTGGTTCAACATTGTTTTTATTAAAATGTCTCTGTAGTATATGTAGATATGTAGTATATCTGGGATTGTAATTTATTTAGCATTGCTCTTTTACTAAGAATTTTTTAAAATTTTTATTTAAAAGCCCTGTTAGATTTTGTTCAATGCTTTTTTTTCTGAATCTATGGCAATGGTCATACAATTCTTATTTTTCAGTCCATTTATGTGTTTCATTATTTTTATTGACTTGTATTCTGAGCCATGCCTGAATTTCCAGGACAAATCCAAAATGACCATGGCAAATGATCTCTTTTACGTATGTCTGTATTCTGTTCACAAGTGTTTTACTGAGCATGTTTGACTCTGTTCACTAGGGATACTGGCCTGTTTTCTTTTTTTTTGCTGTGTTGGCACCTGGTATGGGT